TAAAATTTGTATCACATATGATCTCCCTAAATCCCTGCCAGTTCCTCGATAGTTCTAGGAGAGTTCCAGGAGCTGGCAAGTTTCTATAAATCACGAGATGATTGGCCAGTTAAAATGAGTTACAGATTTGCATTTTATTAATTTCACGGCGCAGTTGATTATTTGCCTTAATTCGTTCCTAAACAGATTTTGCATGAGTCGGCCAAATGTTTCTTTATTATATTGGAGCAGAACAATAAGCTCATATCTAACCCGGTCATTTATTTCTGCCTTATGATCACATGTAATTTTATCCCAATGTCTGAAACATATGCAATTGGTAATGTTAAGGGTGCCGGAGTTAATAAGTTTTAGAACTACGATCTATAATAGCGTAATGTTTTACTTTTCTGATTACACCTATCAGAGATCATAAAATTATATATCAAATATTTTATTTTCCCGATGCAAACAATGAATGCTTTATTATTTTTTGCCTATAAAAAATGCTATCACCGTCACGTGAAAAAAATCATCAGCTAATGCAAGATATAACTTTTTTTTTCAAATATCATGCTTTTCAACTACGACTTAACCATCCATTGAAAAAAAAAAATAGAAATACGTTAATATTCACTTTCATTATCACTACCTTGAATAGTATCTTGAAGATCTTTAACTCGTTTTTTTTAGGGGTCGTATGAGTAGATGATGTAAGAGATACACTATTTCGAGGGGGTGTCTGGGGCTTATCATTTTCATAATAGCTCTCGAGAAACTGTTCAAAATCTATTGACTCGTTTACTAAGTTAAATGTTCGCTTAATTATAGATTTTAAGGCTAAAACCTCCATTATAATGAACGCAAATGATTGGTAATTGCTTAAACGACTAGGAACTTCATAAAATTTTCGACGACAAATACGAGTAACATATCCCATCGGAAGATCAACAGTAATTAGTTGCATCATATTGGCTCCTTGGAGAATCCCGGCTGTTTGTAGCTTCCTTACAATATCTTCTTTCATATTGCATTCGCTTGCAAGTTCGTTTAATATGTCTTTAAGCATTTTACACATTTTTAAGGAATCTGTTAGGAACTTGGTTCCTTTTGATCCCTCCCAGTTTCTCCCGGCTTCAATCGCACCGAATTCAAGGTGATTGTTGCGTAGCCTAAAGATCCCGTCCCCTTTTTTCCGATTTTTTTTCGGTCAGTCCTATCAATGTTCTTTCTATTGCTTGATGATAAACTCTGCCCTTCTCCCCGCACCAACTCAATTTCCATCCCACGAAAAGCAGGATCTACTAAATGGGCCCAAACATTCATCTCAAACCAACCTTCTAGTTTTGAAGATGAATTAAAATTGCTTTCTCCTTCCCACAGAGAATACATGGATCTATACGCAAGGTTTATATAGTCTAAATCTGTTGAGTAAGGAACATTATCAGGGAAAAATCTTACAAATACAACTTTTTGAAAGGTAGATAGTTCGTGTACTGTGTATTTTTTAAGAAATCTGTAATATTTTTATCGATATTTGGTACTTGTTTGAGATTGGTGGAAAAGATTTCATTCCATTCATCGTTGTTAAATAGTTTTTTTGCCTCTTGATCAGCATCATTTATAATGAAAGAGTGTAAGTAGGAATCATGTTTAAATTTTCGTGCATGATCATAAATAACTTTTTCGACAACACGACCAGACGAATTGAGAGTCCATGTTTTTTGGGGATCAAGAGATTGATAAGCACGCTCAAAATTCGAAAGATCATAATCACTTTCAGCAGTGATGGATCCATTAATATCAAATCGTCTTTTAATCTGAATCAAAATTGTAATGAACGTCAATAATTATAGCTCCGTAACTTAAATACACTGGTGTTACTTACTCTCCGAGATTCCTCATAATCAGGATCTGAACTTATATCTGTGTCCGTTGAGTCTTCAGCATAAGATACTGGCTTTCTTTCTCTAAGCTCTCGCTTGCGTTTAATAATAGCCTTAGTAGTTGAAGTGCTCCCAGCAACGGCAAGAGAGTTTCCTGATAATGTCGAATTGTGGATGTGAATCGAGGAACCACCGCTTAATTTACTTGATTTACGTTTTTTTCCCAATCTTTGGCGAGTAGTTGGTCAGGTTTATTTCCCTTTTAAACAAGATTCAGATTAATAATGTTCTTAACTAGCATATCCGTGTTTTCCACCCGATTTCCATCCCACAAGGTCAACGGTCGCTAGATCAGCGAATGGTTTTGAACATCAGACAACCGATTGAAGGGTTATCTGTACCCTAGTAGGATCAGTGCTAGATCAGCGGTTGCTGGATAAGCAAATGGCCATGAACATCAGACTACCGAGTAAGCTATCAACATGGGTCGTCTGTGCTCCAGTACTGATTTTGTGGCTCAGCGGTCGCGAAAAATGCGAATGGCCTTGAATGATCAAGAACCGAGTGGATCTTGGGTCCTTGTCACGCCACTATTCCTAACTTGCATATTTAACAAAAATTTTACTTACATCACTGTATCTACTGAGAAGCTGTTCTGCCATTTCTTTTCCTTTTTTTGCTCACCACTGGCAATACGTCTGAGGCACCTAATGTATCGATCCACTTTTTTGTCGAACGGCTCGAGGTTGCATTGCTCTAAAAATTCTATAAAGTTCCATGTTGAAGGCTTTTGTTCGAAATATTCATAATATTCATTCCTATTTTTCGTCCATCTAATTTTGGAAGATACCGTAATTAAGTTGGAAATAAGTTTTTTGGAGTTACGTGAAATGTAACAGAAGGGCAATTGGGCAAAAGAGAATCGAAGTTACTGATGAGAAAAATTATAATCCTGAACGTAAAAAATTTCCAATTGAGGAACAGAAACCGTTACACGTTAACATACACAATTTTGATTGGATTAATGTCACGATATATAGTGGTATAATCGCAAAGCAAATAATACTTTCCTAATTAGAAATTTGATGTGATTTAGTGTGTGAACCATAGAATCTCTTAGTAATCCATTTGATGTTTACTTCCCTTCGTCTCATAAATTCGAAGTCCAGGAAAAAGTCTTAAAAGAAGGCATACATGAGTTAAAAAACAAAAGCCCTATTGGGAAACTATTAATTTGATCGGAGAGCAAACAGCGACTCTGGAAAACCCGTTTAATTTTTATCTATGAAGCTGGACAGGGTCAACGGATGCTCCCTAAAATTATAATAGACAGGGATCGTGTCCCTGGATCAACAAGGGGGACTTTTTATTATTAATACATGCAAAAGCTTGAGTATATGCAGGAAGTTTCGAGAATAAATTATATAGTGCAATGTCCTAATGATACTACGCATTTATAGGATCTGGATCCTCAGATGAAAAACTGAGAAATATTAGCATATAAACACTATCCCACACTAGATATTGACATGTAAATATATTGCCTTATTGTAATTAATAAAATACATATTTTGTTCATACTGCGGAATAATATCTTTTGCTATTGATCTGCCATCACGTGGCTACGATCGCGAACTTGAGTTTATTGTTCGAAGTGTTGCAGGTAAGACAATATTCTTCCAATGTACATTGGAAGGAATACAACTTTGCTAATTCAGGATCATAAGGGCAGTGACATATATTACCTAATATCATTTAATTATAAGCATCGACCCCTCACCCCCAGGTAAGATATTCTGATCACGTGCATAAAAATTATTTCCTTTTATAGAATTCATATATCAGTTGTAGAGTCGTAGTAAAATATATCAAAAAATAAAATTATAATAAATTAAAAATTTTATTGTAAATAAAATATTTAAATAAAAAATTTTCAAGTGTTCTAAAATCCTAAGTTTCAAAGTCATTTAAAATCCGTTTTAAAATTGGAAAATCATACAAAATCATGTTCTAAAAATCGCATTCTAAAAAATTGTGTTCTAAAAATCATGTTCTAAAATCACGTTCTAAAAAATCATGTTCTAAAAATCACATTCTAAAAAATTATGTTCTAAAAAATCGCGTTCTAAAAATTGTATTCTAAAAAATTAGTTCAAAGCCTTTTTATAAAACAAGCAAGTCAATATTTTATTTCTAGTATTAAAATGAGTCATCAGACCTTCTTATTTAGCCTTAAGTTTAATAAGAAACTGATCTATAATTCACCATCAAATAAGTATCAAGAATTCACCAATGCTTATGTATATAGTATGATTAAAACTGGAAATGGTATCCCTAACTGAAATAATGTTTATCGCGAAGTTACAAAAGAATGGAATAAAATTAAAAGCAAGAGTAAATCAGAAATTGATGAGATAATTAGGAATTACCTGACCATATCATATAATCTATATGACATACAAACAATGAGACCAAGGTGTCTTATACCTAGAGAAGATTCAACTCCTCCTAGTTCTTCTGTTATTCGTACAGTAAATTCTGTAGTAGAAATTTCTGTTAATGGATCCACTCAAAGGAAGGTAGCAAATGAGATATCAATAGCAGAAAAAAACTTATTGAATTTAAGCAAATCTATAACATTACAACAGATCTTTAAATTCGTTATAATATATATGTAAGAATAGTGAATTTTCAAAATAAAATCAAATCTAATAGGAAGAGGATTGTTAAATTAAAAAGAAATACAAATTATACTCAAAAATGCAAAGAAAAAAAAAGAAAACTACTTATCGAAAACCAGAAGGTGATATTATATGATAACCTGGTCATCTTTCACTTCTTTACAAACATCTAAATTTACATGATTATATTCATGATTCGATTGAGTTTGAAGTAGCTGATGAAAAATGATAAAAAGAAGTGGTTAAAGTGCGAATCATAAAAAACTTATATAAGAACCTTGAAGAAAATTATAATATCTATATAGCACGAATAATATTGAATAATTACCTGCTGCCTTATCAATCTAATTCTATTGTTGTAAGGGCACATTATCATCTAGCGTGAGTTGTGGTAGCCGCAGTTTTACATATTAAGATATGAAACCATCCTGATGGTCACTACTGTCTTACGTCTGTTAAATACGCAAGACAGTTTACTATTGCCTTTGCTGATAAGTCTGTTATTATTTCTTAAAACGATAAGGCGAAAATAGGTCTTAGAGTACCTGCTGTAGGTCAAATATATTACACATTATAGTCAGTTTATGAACCTGTTTGTGTGGCTGATTATGATTTTCCTGTGGAAAATGAGCAAAAGTTAGTCCCATCAGTTTATCTTATGATTAAACTAAATAAATTAAATAATGAATTACAAACTAAACAGCTTGTCATTTTTGTATATTAGTAATGGTTCCTTTATATGTCTTCAATCACATATATGCAAGACCTTGAAAGGCTTACTCTAGATTTTCAATCTAATGATATATTAAAGACTGATAGAGAAATTGACCTATCTGGGTATTACTAGTAGATAGAAGATCAGATAAGAATTTAAGGCATCTAAAAAATATTAAAATGTACTGTCAACTTTTTCAAAAGTTTGATTTAGATTACTTGACAGTACGAACATATGCTCTGGAATAATCTAAGTATAATCCTGTTAAAGGGGAATGGCAACACTATCTGAAAAGTTGGTAAGCATCACACTATTGATCGATCACTTTAGAATACACTTAAATATACAAGGAAAAGTGATCAATTCAGAATTGGCTCTTTAAAACTTCTGATATGCTGGAGAAGAACTTTGTGAAATTTAGCATCGTAACTTAATTTTTGGGAGAAGTGTGAATGCATAGTATGTCAAAAAGCTTACTAATCTATTCAGAAATTTGCAGTTTGAAGGTACAGACAAAGAAGAAGAAGAAAAACAGAAATGACAAAAAAAGAAATAAGAGAAAGGAAATGACTCATCAGAATGTTTTGTGTCATGATTATGAATTGAAAAGTACTGTAATCTTTATCAATATTCTTTTGATGTTAAATAATGCATAAACACAAACTATTGTGAACTATCTCATACAAAAGAAATCACAGAATTTCTTCTTTCAAATAATAGTTTTTTACCTCCAGTCACAAAAATTAGAAACGGACATTTCACAAATCTTATACATCCTCTTGAGTATTATGATCTGTTGAAAATTCTTGGATACGATTTGCATTGTCTTCTCTTGATCAAATAATTTATTCACGACTTTATTATTCTAAGTGTAATAAATACTTTCTAACTCTTAGTTATTTTACAAACTATAAATGAACAATGCATTCTGCAAGCCGTGAACAGCTTAAGAAAAAGTTTAAAGAACAAAATTCAAGAATTCTTGATGACTTCTCTCTTCTTTCATCATAACAGAAGCAGCTTCTGTTTGATGAAGTGTATTTAAGAGATTGTATATCAGACGAAGAATGCATATAATCAATTATAGCATTTATACATGTATTTTATACATGCATATAGTATTATAAATATAGAAATAAATAAAATAAATATTGAATACAATATTGAGTATAAGCCATATTATGTAACTAATCATATTATGTGTAACCTAAGATTTTCTATTATCCCTCTACCCTTAAAATATTAAGTAATATATATTACTACCCTAAGGGAGCTGATTCCATTTATCCATAATTCTCATGTTTTCCATCACAAATAAGGCATGGCAAATTTCATAACTGAACAAATGCAAAATTATAATTATCAATCCCTCTGAAACTATTTCAGAATTTTAAGTATGTAAAATGCTTTAAGATGGATTCGATAATTAATTCTGGATAGGGTTTGACTTCATAAGTGATAGATCCTTTTTCTTCATATTGTTCAGAAAAAGATAAATCAGATATTTTGTTTTTTGATTTCGAATTTATGAGAAGATAATCTTCTGATAATTGCCATAGCTTAAGTCCTATTTCTTTTTTATATTTTTTGTTAAACTAAAACAGATCTTATCTGTCAAAATGCTTGGTAACTTACTTAATTTAACATGCCAATTCAGATATTCGAGAGTTAATATTTTATCAGACTTGGTTATGTTTCTTTATATACAATCACAAATCAATTTAAATTAAGTAATAGTTAACATAAATTAGCCTTAAAAAAATATTACAATAAAATGTAAGCAAATATAAGTTTATGCAATACACTTCTGACCAAAGTGATTAGACTATGCAATTATCTCAATTTCACACTGTTCATATTTAATAAAATAAGATTTAGCTTTATATCTATCTTCTAAACTTTCTTTCTCATCATGCTTTAACTCGCATAATAAGCATATTATCTCATTGGTAATTCCATAATAATCGAAATATTCACTACTAAATTCTTTATATAATCGGGATATTGATCTAATGTTTTATTGCAAAAATAGGTGTGGTCATAGGTTGGCTTAGATTGGGATGCAGATAATACATTTGCCAATGTACTTACACCCAAGAAATTCGCTTATATCTCAGTCTTATTGGTTTTTAAAGTCATGTGTTCATTCCAAATTGAAACGGAATCTTTATAATCTACATCATCTGTACTAGTAGTTTTTTTAGAAAAATTATTTATAATGTCCTGGATCTAATTATCATATAAATTTGAGATTGCATTTATGCTACAATTAATTATTTAGACTCTATTTATTCCTATCCCATCAAATAATATATAGATTTTTTTAATTCTAAAAGTTATTTTATGTAAGTTTACATTAGTAATATCAGAAAGAAAGGTTTAATTTCACTATATACCAATGTTTTTGTTAATTTGTCATCAACACCATTCTTAGGCTTAATATCTCTAACTTAATTCTCATATGCTTTATAGTAACAATACTAGTATAAAATCTCCTTACATCTAAACTTTATTATTACTCTAAATAGATCAACTATATTATGTGCTGTAACTTCACTAGATTCTATCAGAATTGCTTCTAAAGAGAGTTCAGAAATCTGAATATTAAATGCCTTATTAATCTTATCATCATCAACTTTAGTGAAGAATAGCTTTCATCTTAAATCTTTTTCCACTTTTTGATTATAAGGAATTTTTTGACACTCTGTCTCTGTATTCTCAGAAGCCAGAACTTGTTTGTTCATTATAGGCGATTTTATTGGTAATATCCTAGCAGATGATTTGTTTTTAGGGGTAATTGACTTACAGGCTGGAATCAATTCTTTGACTACCTAATCTGAAATAGTTACAAATTCAGCACTAGTCATAGAGAGGTCCTTCTTACAATGAGTCAAGTTTAAAGTAACAAAAGATAAATCTTTAGCAATCATCTTATCCTAAACCTTCTTTTC